GTTACACATTCCAAGTTACCCAATGTCTCTTTAAATAAGGTCCAAGAATTCAAGATGTCATTTGGCACTCAGGCACAAAGAAAGCACGGAATACAAACTCAGGAAACCAGGCAGGGTATAAATGCAGACACCAAAATACCTGGGAGTTTATCCATTGCATACACACACATACTGTAAAGACATAGGCCTCAGCTTGAATGCCCACCTGTTGAGAAAAACACTAACATTCCTTGTATCCCAAATAAGTTTTCAAAAACGTTTCTGGAGTGCTATTTAACTTCCCTGTCAGATGTCTTGTAGGATGATAAACCTGGATTGCAGCTTTGTTAAGGCTAGAAACAGACTTCGGGACTGATTATAAAAAAATAAAGAGAAAAGTTTGCATTCTTCGGGCGTCAGCACAGTTCATCATACCAGGTGAAGGTAAGCCCTGGAAGTACGTAGCCCTAGATTTTCAAAGAGGATATTTCAGGCGGTACGAAGATGAGCTTCCTCACACTAAACAGAAACTGCTGTCTGCCAGGAGACCATGCAGGCCCTCCTTTATATACTGGCCCAGAACCTTAAAAAATCATTTACCTTGACACTCTTTCCCCCAGTCTTCTTTCTTCTAAATACTTTCAGACTTACCAAGCTCTTTGGAACAGGACTAGCACATGATGCCTCTTCCAACCCACTGCGGTGGGAGCCCAACGACAGCGGTTGTGCCTAGCGACGCCACCCATTACCCCACATTACCCCATCGTCTGTTCAGAGGCAGCTGTCAGGGGTTAGTGTCCTGATGCACTGGAGGACTCTGAAGGGCTGTAGGAAACATGAACAAAACTCCTGTGTATACAATGGAGGGCATCAACCCAGGAGCAAAGTTTGCAATGGTGTGAAAAAGCCCGTGTAAGATGTTCAGAAAAGGTCTTATTTTTAAGACCATTGGTTGTGTCTGCATATATGGGACTAGAAATAGGCACCCTATAAAGTTAGGAGGGAGAAGCAAGCATTTGTCTGAATCTCAGCCAGCTGTTAACCAGCAATAGATGGAGCTAGTGGTGCACTAAGATGGCTTTGAACTAGGGAAAAGATGTACCTGCACATCTGCAAAAGAGCCAGTCATGTACCTGGGAGGATAGGAAAAGACACTATATTACCAGAAGGTAAAACAATAATTGTAGGACATCTGCTTAGTTGTCAAGGACCAAGAGGGAAATAAAGCTGTTGTCCCCTCTAGCTAAAACCTGCTGTTTCTTTTTCCCCAGACTCCCAACCACCAACTGCTCTACAGTTTGTATGCCAATCCAATTTTGACGCCTGTAATTCACCCCAGAGACTGTTTATTTTAACTTTATCAAGTGAAGAGAAAAACAACTGTGTTAGAATAAAAAAAAGAGCATCTGGCAGCAGGATATTCTTTCTCTCAGACAGCTTCCCAGCCTAACTGGTGTACAAGAAAACGGGATTTAATTACTCAGGGTTGAAAGAAGGGAGAGAAGAGAGTGCAGATTCTCTGTGTGCTTATCTTAAAGATGGTCTTTCGTGGGCTGTTGGAACAAATGCTCTCAGTATATTATGCTCTACACCAAGAGGCAGCCCAGCCCCATCTGGGCCCTACAGGACACATCAGCGAGGGATCCACACGCAGGACACATCAGCGAGGGATCCACACGCAGGACACATCAGCGAGGGATCCACACGCAGGACACTGTCCGATGTGGCCTGTGCCAAGAGTGACCTCTGGAGCTCCACCAGCTTAGTAACGTATCCCCGGGTGCCCGCGGGCTGTCTGGGACAGAGCAACACCACTTCCTGACAGTCGAGAGAAACCAAAGGCACTTAGGAAAACAGACATGTCCGTTCCTTTTTCCAGATTTTGGGTACCAGGCGCCTTTCCCCCTTCCTCAGCGGCACAGCAACTTTGAGCAATGTCAGCACATGTCACAGTTTGCCATCTGCAAGGTGTCCTCAGTGAGAGCTTGTAAATCGGAGGATCTCTCATTTCCCAATCCCTGACATAAGCTCATGCTTTCATATTTCATGACAGGACTTTCCTATTCACTGGCAGGGGATAGTGCCACACTTGGCTCTGCAGCTCCTCCACTCTGAACATGGCTGGTGGTTTTTTTCTGCAAGACTGGCACAATCAAGAAAGACGCTGGGGTTTGGTTTTCTTCCCTGTGGCTCTTTTTGTTCCCTCCCGTTGGCAAGTATTTTTGAACATTGGAGGAAAAAGCAGACGCTGCACAATAGCTTTGCCCACCCACCCCATTTTTGTTTGCATACTTTCATCTGAATAACACACTGATGGAGAACACTCATTTTTCAATAATTAGGAGGGACACTGCAGACACGAAGATTTGGTCTGGACACATGGGACCCTACTTTCATTTTTAGGCCATCTGCTAATTGGGTACCGTTCAGAGGGAGTCTGCAAGATGTCTGGCTCACTTCTGATGTAAGAGCCATCGTTCCTCTTGGAATGAAACGCAGACCTGCTCCTCTCAGCGACGCCACCTACTCTAACGATGCCATGTTCTGAGCATTAACTACCTCAAGAAGGAAGAAGACACTTTACTTGGTAAAATACTTGGAGAAAGTTTCCTTTAGGCAAGAAGCCAGTGCACTACTTACCTTCCTGTGTTGTTCTAGGAGAGTGAGGGTTTCGAGTAATTAACATCTAATGTTTGGAGCAAATAACGTTTTAATTTTTTTAATCAACTAGATTTTTAATTTCAGGCATTTATACATCTAGAAAGCAAATTAGATATGAGGTAGACTTTGGAAAAATCTCACTACATGGCTGCCTTGCTTTAAAACGCATCCTTTCTTGAGATGTTGCCACAAGATCTTCTTTCTATGGATACATTAGGGCATTCCCTTTACCAGGTCAGTAAGCTGGAGGAAAAGTTAAGATAGAGGTGGGATGTAGTTTACCCAGAAAATACTAAATTCTTTTTACTGATTGCTTTGACACACTGCAGGACTTCCCTAATTTTGAAAAGGGGCATTTATCTTCTTTATTTCACCATATAACCATCACATTAACAGCACAGTAATTTTAGGTAGGTTTACATTTTCTCATGCAATTCTTTGTAAGATCTAAACACAAAGATTTGGGATTATTTTCCCCCTTTTTGTCCTTCGCCATCCTTTCATTTTCTTTGAAAGCTGCAAAGCTTTTAGAAAACCCCTTAGACAAGTCCTACAACCCAGAAAACACAGCTTTACTTCCATTTTAAAGCAAAGGAATAACAAGACAGCCTAGGTTTACGGGAGAAAGCACAGGCAGAGCCTGGACGAGCATCTCCTCCGGCCCTGTCCCAGGACCACGGCTCCTTCTCGAGGAAGGGTCACTGCAGCAGGGCAGGGCAGTCGGATGAGATGGAGGAGCGCAGTTTAGTGCAACAGGACAGTCCAGCATCAACCGCTTACACTAAATCACACGTGAATTTGAGTCTGTCTGTGCGCGCTTGGCCACCGCCCGTGTGGGCCCGGAGCAGCACCAGCACTCGCTGCCCAGGGCTCAAACACCTCCAGCCTCAGGCCAGGGGCAAATCCTGCCCCGTCCCGCCGGCAGCGCAGCGGGTCGGCGCTGGCCTGCGCGGGTGTAACGGCCCAGCAGGCCGCCCCAGGGCCGCGGGGTTCGCTTTGCAGCCGCCCGTGACCTGAAGACCCGCCGAGCCGCACGCAGAAAAGGAAGAGCACGGACACAAACCAGACTGAAGTCTACTTTAGCTTACTACACACTCCAAAGTGTCTACCCTCTTTAAATCTTTTAATTTAAATTTATAGCTACTGTACACAGACTCGTCTTGGTCCCGGTTCTGACAGCCTTTTTCTTTTTACTATTTTGAACACTAAAATACAAAAATGAGGTTAGAAAAGGAGAGTTAACCGAATGCCACAGTTTGCAAATCCTACTTCTCCATCTCTCCTGCCCCACTTTTGTGCCTGGCCACATTAGAGGGTATGTCACTTAATACTAAGCCACTCAGACTGAATAGATTGCTTTAACGAGCTGCCCTGGCACAGTCACCTTTACACATGGGGACGAGTAAACTAGCAATGGTAATAGGGTAGCTGGCTCCTGCCATCAGGTTATTTCCCATATCTACTTTTAAACAGTTTATTATGCATTTACTTTGTGCCATTATTTTTACATTGAACAATAACAGCTGAACAGACAAAATGACAGATAGGGAAACGCGGCTGTAACGTTACTTCTCTTCAAGGATGCAGTGCAAGCGCAGTAATGGAACAGAAGCCATCTCTACCCAGAGCACTGTAACTGCAGGTGTTATAAATGTGCTTTCCAGAAATTGATAGGAAAACCAGTATGATACTATTTGAAACCATAAACTTGCTTTGTTCAGAAAGAGTGAGTCTTCAGGAAGATACCTCGTCCGTCTGTGGCCCTAACCATATTTCAGAGCACACTACTTTTGGGGAGTGAGTAAAGTTACCTGCAATTTTTTACTCCAATTAGAAGATTTTTTGGCATTTATTACTTTTTAACTTGTTTTGCATACTGCTATCTGTTTAGCTGGGTCACAGAGAAAGCCATATTTTCTATTTAAAATGATTTGTGTATATCGCTTGACCACCTCAATGGTTTAGTGAAAGAAAAAGGCAGCGATTAAACAGTTTCAAATGAGGTGTCCTGCTGATTTTATCAAGTCTGCTGAATGTATAATGAAAAAGGAGAAGCTGACAGTGACACTGTTGAGAAAATACAGACTACCTTATCTGAACCATTTAAGGAGGTCCAATTATAGATCAAATTTAAAGGGTAGAAACGGCAGATTTACAGACACAAATCAATGAACATGGTAATCCCAATGAATATGACAGATATTCCTGTTACAG